CTGTGAAAGGGTGGTTCGACCCCCAAAGGGGTCGCGACCCACAGGTTGAGAACTGCTGGCTTTGAAACTCTAATGACGCAAACTCACCGGTGCAGGAAAAAGAGCTTGGCAAGGCAGTCAGGCAACTGAGATTGGATCTCTTACCTTTACCACGTATTAAGCCTGGCCAATTTCCTAACCCCTCTGATCCTCAGTTTCCATATTTACTGTATAAACTGAGACAAATACTTCCTACCTATGAGCTTGCTATGAAGATTAGAGACATTTGGTACAAAATGCCTAGCACAGTGGCTGGAGCATAGCAGGCACTCAATCACTGTCAGTTAATATCACAAATAAATGAATCAGGACAAAACACAGCGGACTTAAAAGACAGCCCATGGGAAATGTGCATGGATGGAGCCGAGCGGAAGCAGGAAACAGAAGGAGAGGCTACGTAGGTACCAAGGATACACAGTGTTTAGGGCAGTGCTCGGCAAACTCATTAGTCAACATAGCCATATATCAACAGTACAACAATTGAAATTTCTTTTGAGAGCCAATTTTTTAAACTTAAACTATATAGGTAGGTACATTGTTATTAACTTAATTAGGGTACTCCTACGGCTTAGGAAGAGCCACACTCAAGGGGCCAAAGAGCCGCATGTGGCTCGCGAGCCGCAGTTTGCTGACCACGGGTCTAGGTGATTAGGACAGTGCAGGAGGCACTTCGTTGGACTTTACCCCCTACCCCCTGACAGCTTTTTAAAAATTAAGATATAATTAGCATATGATATATTAGTTTCAGGTGAACAACATCATGATTCGAGATTTGCATGTATTGTGAAATGGCCACAGTAATTTTTGTGTGTGATGAGAACCTTTGCAATCTACACTCTTCACAGCTTTCAAATATACAACATAGTATAGCACTGTAGTGACCATGCTGTACATTATATCCCTAAGATTTATATTCCAGATAGCTTTTGTAAAAATATATTTTTGTTGATTTCAGAGAGGAAGGGAGAGGGAGAGAGAGAGAGAGAGAAACATCCATGATGAGAGAGAATCATGGATCAGCTGCCTCCTGCATGCCCCACATCGGGGATGGAGCCCGCAACCTGGGCATATGCCCTCACCAGGAATTGAACCATGACCTCCTGGTTCATACGTTGATGCTCAAGCCCGGCCGGGCCCGGACAGCTTTTAATGAAGGACTTGTCAGAGGGCAGAAGTCTGCAAATGATTGGCAGGTCTGTATTTAGAATAATGAATATGATATCAGATCATCTTAGCTAATTACTGTTTACTTGCAAATGTCATACACTGGCTTCTGAAGTGCGTGTGTGAGGCTGTGTTATGTTTTGCTTTTGCATGTGTGAATGTTTGTAGGTGGGAAGCATGTGCACAAACCTGCACCCTGGGAACCTTCCTGACAATGGCTCAGCAGATGGTCCAAATGGCGGGTTCCCCATGGAGTTTACTAGTGTCCCAGTAGCATCCTGGTTATAGCTCATCTTTTTCTCCAAACTGCAAGCTCCTGGATGCCTGGGACTGTGCCATTCATGTCTGTTTTCCCTGCAGAGTATAGTGCCTGGTACATAGCAGGAGTTCAATACATATTTGTTAAGTAGCCCTGGCCGGTTTGGCTCAATGGATAGAGCGTCAGCCCACAGACTGAAGGGTGAGGGTTCGATGCCAGTCAAGGGCCTGTACCTCGTTTGTAGGCTTGATCCCCCACTTCGGTCAGGGCACATGCAGGAGGCAACCAATCGATGTGTCTCTCTCACATCGATATCCTCTCTCTCTCTGTCTCTCCTTCTCCCTGCCACACTCTCTTACAATCAATGGAAAAATATCCTCAGGTGAGGAATAACAAAAATAAATAAACAATATATATCTAAGTATCCTATATAATAAAACCCTAATATGCAAATCGACCAAACGGTGGAATGACCAGTTGCTATGACATGCACTGACCACCGGAGGCAGATGCTCAATGCAGGAGCTGCCCCCTGGTGGTCAGTGCACTCCCACAGGGTGAGCGCCGCTCAGCTGGACGCCGGGCTCATGGCTGGTGAGCGCAGCAGCAGTGGCAGGAGCACTAAGGATCCCTCAGCAGACATCCCCCGAGGGGTCCCAGACTGCGAGAGGGCGAAGGCCAGGCTGAGGGCCCCCACCCCCCTCCAGTGCACAAATTTTGTGCACCGGGCCTCTAGTATATACATATTTGTTAAGTAGAGACATAGATGAATTGGGAGTTGACTGTATGTGTATGTGTCTATAAAACTATAATATAAATACACATAAACACACACACTTTTACTCTAATTCTTGGGACCAGCTTTCCATTTAGTCTGGATGTTGAGCCATATATGGATGAAGGTTCCTTCCTTGGCGTAAGTTGTACTTTCAAAACAGTCCGTAAAAGTACTGTCCCAGAGAACTTGGATGATAAAAACATTCTATTTTGCATTGTTCAGTATGAGACCAATGGCTATGGAGCATTTGAAGTGTGGGTAGTGTGAGTGAGGAATTTAATCTTTAATTTAAATAGCTACATATGGCTTAGCGGCTACTGTGTTGGACAGCGCTGGTTATAATCTTTTTAAAAAATATTTTTATTGATTTCAGTGAGGAAGGGAGAGGGAGAGAGAGATAGAAACATCAATGATGAGAATCGTTGATCGGCTGCCTCCTGCACGTCCCCTACTGGGGATCCAGCCTATAACCCAGGCATGTGCTCTTGACTGGAATAGAACCCGGGACCTTTCAATCTGCAGGCTGACGCTCTATCCACGGAGCCAAACTGGCTAGGGCCGCGCTGGTTATAATCTGTTATCATTATGTACTTTTCTAGATCATAGTCAACTGGTAGATCCTGGATGACACTTTTCGGTGGTGCTTATTTTTGAAGCTAGAAGACTTTCCTAATAGTTTAATACCACCTTCTAAATAAACTAAAAAATATTCGTCAAGCATCTAGTACTTGGCAATATTGCTAGGAGTGATAGAGAATATAAAGTCCCTACCTCTGTGTTCTATCGAATAAGGAAATGGGTTAGGAGACCTGGGACATTAGAGAAATAGACTACAGCCTTGGGCATGGCTACTCTTAAGATGAGTATGAAATCACTTGTTATTTATTCTGCAGGTGTTATGCCAAGGAAGCTCTGGTAAATAAAACTCAGTATCACAGCCTCTACTTGATTTTTGGAGAACTCGCTTAAAATGAGCAATTATTCAGTGCGCATCAGGGCTGTGATACCTTTCACACGTCTTTGGAGGATTTTTTTCATTACTGAGCATCTTGTTCCCCACACCCCGCAGGTCTCTCCGAGGATAAGACACTGCACGGGGGCTGGAAATGTCAAGTGCATCTCACTCCCTGCCCTCAAGGAATTTAGACCAGCTCCGAGGATGCCTGTGGGAAGAGAGAGCTTGTGAGGTCATAATCACGTTCGTCTCATTCTTGTGCAGAAGGGACTACATATCTTCTCCATGAGAGCATTGAAAGCATAAGAAGCAAAAACAATGAGTAACATTGGCATTAGATGTACTTCCAAGTGGTGAAATGTCCAATGGCAGATTTCACCCGTTTCTAAGAAGAGCAAACAGTAAGGTGATGGCTCTGTGAATATTTTTTCTTTCAAATGTTGCCCTAAGAAAGCCCAGTGTAATGGAGGAGCCCTGGGGTGGGAACGCCCTGGGATGTAAAATGAGCGGACTGAAGATCTCCACGCTTCCTCGGGCTCAGAAAGTCTGCAGAGCTCCTGGAGAGAAAGCCATGAAACTTTCTATACTTCATGTTTATTATTACAACGGACTTCACCTGCCAAGAACCATTATAAATTGTTATGTCGATAAACTTTATTTTTTCATAGTTTAATTTTTTTTCCGGTTAAATGGAAACTGTTTTCATATCACTAATATTTACCAGTATAAATATAGGTAGTATCTAAGAACACATAAACTTAAAGGACCATCATAATAACTATACTGAAGCTCTCATTCACTAATTACCCAGTTTGTGAACAGGTAAGCATCCTATAGCTCTCGTCACATATTTGAACAAGGGCACAGAATTTGAAAAGTTTAAATTCTAGTTTGTGACTTGTTTATAAGTCACATTATATCCAAAGGACATTACTAGTATACCCAGGACATTATATCCAAAGGCTAAAATGAGTTTTTTTGACATTACGTAGAGGTTCCTATTTTGGATGCTATGCCGTCTACCTCCATTAACTTGAACTGAGAATTACCAGTACTGTATATAGTCCATTCATTTCAATTAAAATCATTTCATAAAAAAATCATTTCATAGTGTTAATATTTCATCTTTATTCATGACTACATGGCAACATATAAAAATGTATATATATATATGAATCAGTAAAATCATATTAACCTACGGGAGAGAGTTTACATATGTATTTTTCCAAATTTCAAATTAATATTGGGGCAGCATTATTTGCCAGTTAAGCACCAGTGTACCCAGTATAACTGGCCTCCTTAGAGCTAGTGGAACACTGGGAGATTTTTCTGGGTTTTAAGCTGTTCACCTCTATCCCAAATCTAAATTCTGGCACCCCTATCTAAAACCTCAACAACACAACACACCTTACTAAAGAGAAAAATTAAACTTCAAAGACACCAAAAAAACCCCCACAAAAACCCCAAACCCCACACATTTCTAGAGTGTCTATTTTTCTTTTTCCAAAATCACAGCGCTTTATTTTTCACGAGCTTTTATTAGAGTGTCAGCATGACCGGGTCAAGAATGTTCCTGCAGGAGAACGCAGAGAATCCAGTGCACGGTTCGCGGGGCCTCATCCTCGGGGTCAGCTCCCGGGGCCTCCTCCCGGGGGCCAGGTCCTGAGCTGGGCCGGGGGCGTCTTGGGGGTGCGTCTGCTCGGTAGGCAGAGGGGACCCCGAAAGGCAGTTCTGAGCCCGATTTCTGGGCTGTTAGCACCGGGTGCCGCTGCCCCGATGCTGAGTGTGGTTGGGGATCCGGCCGGCCCCCCAGCCCGCAGCAGGGGGGAGAGGAACAGACAAAAGCAGGCCCTGCCCTCGCCCTTCCCCAGTTAAAGTCCACTTCGCCCGCAGGACTTAAACACACTAAACCAGTGGTTCTCAACCTTCCTGATGCCGCGACCCTTTAATACAGATCCTCGTGTTGTGGGGACCCCCAACCATAACATTATTTCCGTTGCTACTTCATAACTGTAATGTTGCTACTGTTATGAATCGTCATGTAAATATCTGATATGCAGGATGTATTTTCATTGTTACAAATTGAACATAATGAAAGCATAGCGATTAGTCACAAAAACAATATGCAATTATATGTGTTCTCCGATGGTCTTAGGCGACCCCTGTGAAAGGGTCGTTCGACCCCCAGAGGGGTCGCGACCCACAGGTTGAGAACCGCTGTCCTAAACCAAATGGTAAGCGTGTAACAACTGCCCATTTGCGTTGCACAAATCAAAACTGAAAAAAAAACCCCACATTTTAATAAGGCATTTGAAACCAATAGCTGGACGGGGCGAATCTAAGATGGCAGGCGGAGGATGAGAGCCGTGAAATTGACACGCTGCGGGCGGAAGGCGGTCGGGCAAAAGCGGGCTCCGGCCGGAAGGGCAGAGACGGTCCGAGCATCGCCACCAGAGAACTAGCGGGGCCCACGCGAGCCGCGGGGGGTCGGCCTGGGCGAGAAGC